TTGTCTAAGCTCGTTCATTAGCGTTATATCATAAAATAGTTTTTTAAGTTTTATTTTTAAGTGTTTGTTTTAATTTAGACCTGTTCACTTATTCCGTTACTCTTAGCTTGCTCTTGGTGTCAGCCATGCATCCGGATCATTATACGTTTGTTGTTTAGAATTACTTCAGACGACGACAACCAATAATGGTGTAAATCTCAAGGCTAAAAATCAAATAGAATCTCTTGAGATACGTTTAATTGATCTCAGTTTACTTAGCAATGGTTTTGGAATTTCTTCTGAAATACAACAGTTTTCAGCATCGTCATCAACATCGGGGAAAGTTCAAAATAAAAAAGTGTCGTCGTACAATCGTCTTGGATCAATAAACTTACGATTGTTTATGAGAAGTGATAGGTATTCTGATAAAACACAGAAAAGTTGTAATTCACTGTCAACCTTAGCAAATTATCGTCTAGTAACGTATGATATGGACGGTAGTGTGGTTATATGGGATTTGCAGCACAAATGTATAATACGGTCTTTCAAAGCTGTGAGTTTTCGACTTTTTTAAATCTATACGTAAACTTTTCACACAAGTTGCCCTAAACTTTTTCAATTCTGTTTTTAATAGTTTAGTGCTCAATCGACTGAATCACCGCTTCGTAGGGGAAGTCTTTGTTTAATAATCATTAATATTGTGCGTTCTATAGATTATTTAACTCAAATAACTTATCGTACCTCTAGCGAATTGCTTTGATATTTAAAATATTCTGTACAGGCATAAAATTATTTTTTTAAAACGACTTTTAACTGTGGTGTTTGAAAGTAACTCTAAGTGGGTTTAAGCTGTCCAGTAGTATCACAATTCATCACATATACGATGTATTATGACACAACGTTAAGTACATAAATTTGTTTGTACTATGTTATCGAACTGTTATGGACAATAATAATAATCAGTTATTTTTAAAAGGTCAATATATTTTTCACTCCTAGTTTTCATATACACTTTATTTCATATAAAGATTGTATCGTGAAGCTCTACAAATATCGTACTACCGGGATCTTTTACTAAAACTAAACTTTATGAGCGAAAAAAAGCCAATTTCTTGCTAGGCGAGCTACCTGTTTGCTCAACCACCATCTTATCTCAAAATAGTGCACGCAATGTCGAGTCACCTAGACTAGTAGCAACATTGCAACTTGGTCGATGGGATTCGATCTGCACTGAGAACAACCTGACACACATGACATTGATCACCACACAGTGATCAATCAATTGTAAATCGCCTTGACAGTTAATCATACTGACTAATAGAATATACTCTTACTCTGTAAATAATACTGTACTTTGAATACTTACTATTTATGTGACTTATACTTTTTTTTATTGTAGAACTTATCAACATTCAACATGTCCAGTTTATTACTATCCGTTGATGGACGTGTAGTTTTTGGTGATCAGGTCAGTAAACATTTTATCTTAATTTTTGTAAATATTCATGCTATAAATGGATTTTGTTGGATAATAAGTTCAGTGTTATCATATTCATTTGTCTTACTTTTTACACCGACCATTCGTGCTTGTTAGTGTATGATATCAAACAATTGGGCTCGATAGTCTTGAATGTATCAATATCATGTCATACTAAAAAAGCTTAGTTTAAATCGTCGGATTGACACCTAAATAATTTATCTCCGAATTGGATCAAGATTTCACATTCAATGAATTTCTTAATAAATGCCATCGATGAAACACGAAAAAATAAGACTGAAGTAGTTTAGTTGAGAAGATAAAGTGATCATCGCACAGTAACAATGTTTCCACAGTTCAAACTCTTGTCGCGGAAATAATTAAATAATCCTTATCCTTTCGCACTAAACAATATGTTTTTGCGTGGTTAAGATAACGGATACTTGAGTCAATAACATGAACCTTGAGCATCATGCCACAAATTTGTTGTTATCAGTTTTATGTTTGGTTTAGTTATAGACGATCGATTACTGTTTCGTTAATTAGATCACTTCATCTGACGAAAAAGTGTGACAATTTTTTTGAGATATGAGGCTTCATTACTCATGCGCAATACCTCTGTATCGAAATTCATGTATACTTGCTTTTTTATTAATCATAACCGGAAATTTATTTTAAACTAAAATCAAGGTGGAAAATGGTTGGTTGAGAATTTTGCGTACTAACCATTTGCTATTTTATGTTGCCAATGACATAAAATTGTTTTGATAGTAGATATAGTAAACGGATAGGCAAACTGTATCGTCTCGTAAACACCTACACGACAAGATATGATTAGTATTTATGAATATAGAGCGGAATGTTCTGACGAATCGAAAGACAGCTCCACCTGCTATATTTAAATTGAAATATCAAGCTTTACCGTCTGATTGGAAAGAATGAATGTCCATGGAACAACTGTGGGTTTCTAGTAGCGGGAAAAATTAACGATCTATTTGAATCTGAATCCTATATAACTCCTTGATCCTTAGAAAAAGGGCCTTAAAACGGTCAGCGCTTGACTAGAACTTAGTTCCATGCCAACTTCTTTTCCATACCATTATGCTAGTAAATTCCTTCAATTGCTCATGATCCATATTCTTAAAAGCGAACCTCTGTGGTAGATGTGACAACTTTCACCACCATATCAAACCAGTTGTGTCAAGGCATTTCGATATGAAGTCCGTCGTTGTTTTTTGTAATTCGGTAGAAAACAAACGAATGAACAACTATAATTATACACGTTTTCAAAAATAAATAACACTCTAGCTTATTAAAACCTGAATGCACCAGCTTCATGTTGTGATGCAGCCTATACAGATACGAAGTGCCCTAATTTATTATAGTAATTTACTGAATAATGCATGTTATGTATTCACAATTTCAAATTCCACTCCTAATCTTGTCATTTTTGTGGCAGAATGTATATATATACCGTGTTTTTTCGATAAGTGTGTAGAAGTAACTGCATGGTACTTTGACCATTATGTTTACTTCAGTCCTCTGATTGATTAACCAACTCATTCACATTTTACCACTTACAACTTACTGATTAGTGGTTGTCTAACAAGACCACAATCTTTACTTTTCCTCTACTTGATAATATGGTCTGCCTGTATCATCTTGATGTATTTTTAAGAAGTTGAAGTGTTATCGACTAAAATCACAATGATTTATGAATTTAATAACTAATTAACAAGTTATAAAATTTTCCGTCATCTACATCCATTTACGTAACTGTTTAAGTTCCATTGTTTTTTATCACTAAAATATACCTGTTTCTAATATACATTGTTTTCAGAGTTATCTACGAGTTGTAAATCCATGGACTGCTAAATATGAACGTTCAGTTCAACTTTTACCCCCATCATCTGTAAATATGAGAAATCCAAATAGTTCAAATTATTCACATATCTCTGCTTTGTTACGTCGATGGATAAAAGAATTAGTTCCACTTGGTGTTACTGGTGGTGACTTTGAATCGTTCAAGTCATCTGAATTATACTTGATAACTAATCGAAATGATGAACAAGGAAAATTATCCACAATTATCAATATGAAAATGCCAATAAGAACTGGTGGATCATATGTTATTAGTATTGCCGATGGTGGACGAATATTAGTTGTAGTACCGGTGTCTACGATTAAATTTGATTAACTCGGATATTTTTTCTACCGATTCTTTCTATTTCTATAATATTTAAGAGATGTACAGTCTTCATTTATTATAATATGAATTTTAAACAGTTATCGTATTATTATGAAATATTAATTAGTTTCGTTTTATCAGTTTACATAATTATACATTGATCGTTAATCAAGTTTCTGATGCTATGTGATTCCTGCATAGATTTTAATTGCGTAAACTTCAATGTTTGAGTTACTAAATTGATTCTAACAGTAACACAGCATTTTTACTATTATTTCTAATTATGAACTTTAAAATAAATATTAAGAAGGGTTTGCATAAATAGTATTAGCTTGCTGTTTCACCTTTTCTCCATTGGCATGATGATGTCAACTCTCTTTGAAGAGATTAATGTTTATCGAAAGATTTATAATAAGTCTCTGTATCTTATGGTACAAATGACAGTTTCCCAATAAGAACTAAGAATTTGTGTTCATCTAATATTTATTAAACCGATAGGTAATTTTTAAAGTATTTTATAAATGATGGATTCTGGTGAGATATATAATTATTTGAATATTTATATTACGTAAAACCGGTAACTTAAAATAATTCATTAGCTCTTTTTGAAATATCAAGTACTTAAAAATCTAATATTATGTAGACAAATACCAATGGTGATCTAAAGTGAAACCAATTTAGTAATTTACTCAACATATATTTCATTTACAAATCAAACTGACTTGCACAATTTCGATTTTTACTTCAGTTAAAGAATACCTATTTAATACAAAACTAATAATCGAAACAACCCTATAGAAATATATCGTATAAGTAGTATAATTAAATTTAATTTGAAGTCTTAGTTTTACAAACTATGTTTAAAAGTATGATCCATAAAACTTAATATATTTCACTGGAAAGTCTCATCAACTGATAATAATTCTCAGCGCGAGGAACTTGTTGATGTAATCGTATTCTTTGTTGCTTTTTATTCGAGTAAAATTATTTGTCCACATAAATCAACATCACGTATAAGAGTGTTTGACCTTCAGCACGCCTTACTTAGAACTCCTAAAGTTGGTTTTTTACTGGGTCTGTTTCACTACTATCTCTCTCTTGGGAAAAAGCTCGGGTTTCTTGAAAATATCAACTCATAATCAGAAGCCTAGACCCTCAGTAGTCTACAAGTCTTAACTTTTTCTGCTTTGTTTCCAACTCCGTGTTCTTTAGTACACACAAGTAATTTCATGAGCTCCTAGCATAGAATAACATAATTTATCAGTCACTCGCGCCCGGCTATTGAACAGATTGGAAACAAAAGCATAATCTGAAAATATGCTGCTTGTTTTAAATGAAGCAAACAAAAAACAACTAAGCATTGGATTTTTCTTTATCTTTTAAACCTTTGTACAATTGACATAAACCTTTAGAATCTGCAGTAAGTACACCAACAAAATCTAATTTCTGCGTTTGTACACGTCGACGTTTTGTAGATTTTAAACGATCAATAAAATTTGTTCGATCAGCTGAAATTGTAATCAAATAAAAAGAATTTTAGTAAGATTTGCACGAACATAAGAAAATTTAATACATTTGAGTCACTGTTATCGATTAAGAGCTATTTTATTTGACTTTTTAAACTATTGACTATCATTAGTTCGAAAAGCCTAGTCAGTAATTTTAGACCTTCCGACAAGGTTCAGTTTAACAGTTGATTATCTCCTGAATCGATCCCATTTAGTTTTCTAATCGAAAAATAAACTAGTACACCGCATGCGTAGGTAGGTGGCATCGATAGTGAAGAATAAAGCGAGCTTCCTAACTGTATGTAAATTACTTATTCTTATCACAACTAGTACACCTGTTACCACACTATCAATTTGTGCTTCTTACTTATTTTGTTTCTTTGCGTGATCTATTACGATGTTATCACTGACTCATTAACTGTCTTGATTAGTTTAATGGTTTCGTATATGTATATAAATATTATTGTATATTAGAGCAAAGCCTGATGAGGATCTAATCGAAAACAATATTGTTCGCTTATATATGTTGTTCTAAATCACAATATGGGAATTTTTCAAAATTTGAACTGTTATCATTATAAGTATTGAATAAAGCATTGTTTCTTTCTAAATTTACAGCTTTTGCTACCTCTAGTTCCTAACATTTTTAAATTGAGTAAAAAGGATTTTATTGTCAAAAAGGTTAAAATAGAAATTTTACCAGGTTCAACTATTGCCATCATCTTGGGCGATTGCACCGGGTTACATGTAGATCTGAATGTGAATAAGAAAAAAAGGATTGTACTATGAGAGAAAATAGTAATTGTTCAAAGCTACGAATTTACACCTTCACCTATCTATCCAATGCATTACGACAGTAACTAAGAAGTGGTATTAACACTATAACATACGAAACAATATTATATATTCTATATGGATTACTAAAAATCAGCCACTTATAACTGCAATACAAATCTGGTCAGTTTGACGTCTGAACTAATCAAAAAGTACAAAATGACATTTGCCTTCATACTTCGAATGAAAAACGTAGTTGATATTTTAGTGATGTGCAACGTTGCCTAGAAAACTTGGAAGTAAACTGACAGATGATCAAAATGAAGATTAGTATCAGTTCACGAAGTCATTGACCATGGATGAAAATCATGTTGATAGATACGAATTACCTAGTTAGGTTCCGCACGACCAGTGATTGAGTAACATTACTTGTAATTGGACACAATGGGTCAAATACATCCACTATTCTTCGACATTTTGAGTTTTATAACCCCAACAGACATACCTTTAGACTCCATATTCTCAGTGTTTAGTCTTTCTCACTGTCAATGTTACTGCAGTAATTCCGGCTGCTTTATTATTCATCTTGTTAATTTTATCTTATAGTGCTAAGTTAGCATGACGACTTGGCCATTCCCATCTCCGTCAGGCTGTTTACCGATTATGACTGACCGATTTATATGAACTTCATTAAGCTAACAATAACAATGTACAGGCTCACATTAAAATCATCATATATGTAGCTTTTGATTCACCGACGATCCACCAATCATACACAGGTTTATATACTACTGATATTATTTGATTATCAGAACTCCAATTATGAAAGTAATTTAAATAGGCTTTTGCAAAACATGTCAACCTTTTTGTATACCAATAAACCAATATCTGATTAATATGGTTTTTAATTTTGATACTATACCAAATTAGTTACTATAATACAAAATAAATTTGAAACTGTTATCAAACTAGTAAAAATTAAATAAATCACACATACTTTTGATTTATTTGCGTAGTGATACATTTGGAATCATGAGAATTTGTATGCCTATGGAGACGTTCACATAGAACTGTTAAACTTTTCATAATTTTTATAAGTGCTAAAGGGATTATAGAATTAACGATATTCGTTTGATCATATGCTATTGTTTTAGCTAGACGAATCATTTCTGTGAGATTTAATGAATTAAAGTCGTTTTCATTTGACAAACGATTTAGTCCATTTAATGTGTCATTAGTTTTTGATGAACTTATAGTTTGTATCCAATAATTTCGAATTTGTTCATGTTCAGTTGATATATCACTATATAAGGAAAGAATATAATCGAATTCAGTTGCCATTACAATTGCTTCTGCTTGAAGTACAGGTGCAACAGGCAAAGTTCCAGATGATGATCCTCTAGAATTATTTTTTTTGGAAAAACAAAAGACTTTTTTATATATTCACTAAATAATGATGTAATAAAGGCACGAAAGAAGAATAAATAATCAATACTATTGACACTATAGCTCTCTTATATAAAGAAAAAGACATTGATCTCTTTTAGAATACAAACTATTTTAAACCATAAAAAATGAATTTCTTTATTGTAACTAAACCCTTGTACTACCCTTTAAAATTTTGAATACTTATTGTAAAATAATACAAATACTGATCTCTGTTGAACAGTGGAAAAGACAAAGATAAGTACTTTTAACTTGTATATACTTCACTTTGTAACAGTTAGCTATCTGAATCTAAACTTTCTTCGTCAAAAAAAAGAAGAGTCATACGAAGTTTTTACTGAAATTTAAAATCCACTGCTTTATTTTTGTCTTAAAGGTAGGCATTCAATCTAACTTTATTGCGAAGGAATAAACAATACCTTGGCTGATAATACTTATGTGATGAATAGCTAGTTAAGTTATTACATTACAAATGAAGTGTCATTACTTTTTTATTTCTAACAACTATATATAAATTCCTACCAACTTGGTATTTTTAAAGATTATGTTGAGTTATAGTTAATATTTATTTCATTACATTTCGGAGAAAAAGTGACTTTTAAACAATGAATTGAAGATTAAAATCTCGCTACATATAATTCGGGTTGGACAGCTGGTTAGTATCACTATTCATCACAAAAATAGTCTGCTTTGAACTTGGTAGAACAGTCACATTACACTGTATCTAAAAATTACAAATTATCTAACTAAGAATACGCCATTCAGCTTGGTGAACACAAAACCTTCAAAACTCTCATCCTGAGCTGCAAGTGTTTTCTATCATCTCAATCTAAGTAAGATAAATAATTACAAGTTCATAAATAAACCCACTAACGAAAGGTTAATTCTATGAACCTCAAAAGCTTACCGTTTAGAAGAGTTCTTTCTAGAATCGGACAGGCAAACGTACTGTTTAATAGAGTTTACAATATTCACTATAGATTCTTCACAGGCAGATATTTCACTAGGTTCAAGGTATTCTTTTGGTAAATTTTCGAATATCGGAGCAGCTAGCTAAAAATAAGACAATGATAACAAAAGTGTTTGATGTTTGGTTTATAAACTTCATTATCAACAAATCGTAACTTCGGTATTTCATAACTGAATAGGCTAAAGAATGAAACTGTAATAATCGATATCTGATTGAACTAATTGATGGATAGAGTGCCAACTACTACTACTACTCCTCAATACTTCAAGTGAATATTTCATCCCATGTAGGTTATTTTCAACCAGAATAATTATTTTAACAGAATACAAACGATTTTCTGCTCAAAAAGTCTACTGACACATTAAAATATACTCTATTATCTATGATTACTGTTTGGTATTCGGTTATTACAGCAATATTCATTTCATTGGGTGCTCTACATAACACTCACCTCGACCATCCACGTGTAAATAAAATCAATAGTATACATAATATGATATATAGGTCATATTACTTATTTATATTTTATAATTCTCTATTAAAGTCTACATACAAAAATTACCCTTTCTTAAGTCAATCAGTCAGTCGATGATACACATTTTCCATATTATATAGTCTGATTAACTAAAAATAATATCATCCAGGTTACTTAAATCATAAAGACTGAATGTACTTTACTCAATAGATCTTTAAATCTATATAGTTTACCAAGGTCTGATTATTACCTTAATTAAAATACAAACAAAATGTGTAAACATTATACAACTGCATATTAGACATAACAACAAATAACATATAAAGTCAATTAGAAGAAATATATTGTATTGATGAAAGTTTAGTAGCATTAAAGTTTTAATTAAATTTTTTTTCAGAATATTTAGAAATACTATTTGAATAATAAGTTGTAGATAAATTTTACTACTGTATGTATTAACTAGTCAGTTTTGTTGGTTATTAAAGATTTGTGGTTTAGAATGGAAAAGATGATCGCTTTGTGATCATTGATCTTTGTATATACGTCAACGTTTCATGAACATGAACTTTATGAATTTGTCAGCAATAATATTGTAGATAACATAATGGCAAATTTTAAATTACTTTAATGTTTACAGAGAGATCTAGAGACTAGTGTTCATGAAACATTCATAATCAAATATCAAAGCTTGAAGAACATTAAACAAATTAATAATAATCACTTGATTCGACAATATGTTTACAATTAAATGGAATTATCAGTGTAGACTTATTAGCAAGATAAATAAAATAATGGGTAAATATTCACACTGTTTACACTAAGAAAGTTATCAAGAGTGGTGATAAAACTTTCGCAATCAAGTATGTTAACTAATCAATGATTCTTTATAGTTGAGTATCAATACAGGAAAAAAAAACAACTGATAACTAAAAACCCATCAGAGTAATATGTCTGTTACGAATACTTTGTCGTTGTATACCATAATATAGGATCGCTTGAGTATTATGTTAGGATGGTTACAATATCTATTCGTAAAATCACTGTTATGTTGAAAATAAAACCATTAGTGGTCCATAGATTAAAACGATAAGGTCTAGAAATGATACACAACTATATCGATCGTATGAATTAGTCGCAAATTTATACTGTATTCACATTTACGCTCTTTTGTACCCAGGATTTTCGTTATCATTTTATGCTTTTTTGTGACAAAGTTGTTTTTTAAATGGTACAATTGAGAAATAATACACTAGACTTTATGCTGAGCCAGTCAGTAGTCATTAATAAACAAAAAAATAATCAAATATTATCAATTCGAAACAGCATGGTCGGTAAGTTTAAGCATAAAAATAAAATAATCAGACAATACTTGAGAATAATTTACAACGATATTAGTTCCATTAACTAACCTTAGTTTTGTCCAGTAATGTTTGAGATTCCATAAGTGGCCAATACCGTGTTTGACGTTCAATATGTTGTTGAGCTATTTAGTATATGTAAGAACAATCAAATAATTATTAAGCACATTAAAATAAACTAAGAAGCATTAAATTATATAGTTAATAATAGATGAAAAAGAGATATAATCCAGTGAGCAGTGACGGTAATTCCTTACCCTCTTACCCATCTACTCAGTAAAATGCATGAGTACAGATGTGGAGTAAAGATGAGTAAACAAGTATAGACAATGTACGAACTGATATATATATATATATATATATATATATATATATATATATATATTCTGCACCCACTTCTACTCGGCTTAGTCTAACAGTCAATGACTTCATGAGCTGACACCATATCTTGGTATTTTTGATGAGACTAAGTGAAAAATACTAATTAGTGACATTTGATTGAATGAAGACTGAATATTAAAAAATCAATCGTTTATCTTAGTTATTCTTGTATTCATAAGGAACGCCAGTAAGTGAGGAGACATAAACTAGAAGTAACTGTGATTCCTAAGCGAAATGACATATAATTTAAAATTATTCTAAATTTTATTTTAATGATGAAAGCCAGATGACTACAGCTTAGTCAGTTCACTTTGGTCGAAAAAAATGAATTGATCAAGGTTGTTCATCATTTTATTTTAAGTAAGGGATATTCTACTTGTATATGACTCTTCCGTTATTATTTGAAAATCAAAACTTTCGCTAACAACAAATGCTTTGTCTAGGATTTTCACAACAATCATGAAATAAGTGTCAGTCCATTGAGGACATTACCATTTAAGTCTGTGAGATTTCAAATTCAGATCATATGTCCAATTCTGAAATTATTTAAAGAGGAGGAGAATGAAAAAGCTAATCAAGTCAAATAAATAAAATTCCAACTCTATATGCTCCAAGTCGTTAAGAATATATTTATTATTCTTAACTATAAGACAAATTAAAGTCGACTGATGGTAAGGCTTATTTACTGCCTTTAAAATTAATATAAACCTGGCAGTATTAAGAAAAAACTGACTGTATCCTACCTCGTTCTTTGGGAAACACTGAATAATTTAATCTAGCTGATGCCGGAGCCAGACGAGAAGGGCGTAAGATTTGATCAATGAAGGCTTGTATACGATAATCTCCCGAGGCCACATTAGAACTAGAAGTTAAAGGAATATTCTGGGGATGAGTCATTGGGAATATTGTTCCTAAAACATGTATATACATTACGGATCCATGACAAGTGAGTAGAAGAGCTTCATCCGTTGAACAAGATGTTAAGAAGTTAGAATCATTAGGTAACGCTGGGAATGAAGACTGTAGACGATGAGCCAACGCAACAGACCGACCTGTATTAGATGAATGAAGAGATTAACAAGTTTGAATAATAATAATAATAATAATAATAATAATAATAATAATAATAATGCAGGTATACACGTACACAGTTTCTACTAGTCATCACTTGCTGAAGAGTAGTGACAATTCATCTCGAAATTAAAGGTGTAATATGTCACAATAGACATTAAAATCAACGCACAAGATAGATAAATTGGCCAACAAAAGCAAGACATCTAAACTTAGTCAAATTACAGTCGTTAATTTGGTATTTTAAAGGAACCAGACTGAATAATTACGCAATAAACGCGTTAATGCGTTGAATATGACATAATTACTATTTTTAGATACCATAATGACAGTCTTATGGGGATATTGTTTCATAAATCATCTCATTGCTAAAATTTACATGGTTTGTCTTAAATAGGTATGAACAAAGTATTCTATTATTGATCTTACAATCAGTAACTATAATTCGCCTGAGGTGAAATAATCTGACCGGATCCTATACACTGAATCATATTGCTCTTATCTCATATAAGTACACAACACATTTATTACATCGCTATAAAGACTTTCCGGTACAAAATACTCTTAAAATTGTGTATCCAGCATTTAGTGAGCTGAAAATAGGACGTACTCGTCAGCAGGATATTTCAATAGCGTTTTGCTCATAAACAAGTGACACTTAGACACCAGTGGTATGTTTAATACTTTGCGTTTGTTTATGTGACAGAAAACCAAAAGGATTGTAGGATATAATTGTAGGTAGAAATCACAGACGTATATGTTAGGTGATAAGAGGTTATCGGTACCAAGATATATCTATAATTTTAAAGAACTGATTCTCCTCGTCGGATTCGAACCAAATTCAGTATTCACGAAACTCAAATAGATATACGTGAGTGATATGCTGGTTAACCAACAACGTTTTCCACTTGTCTCAGAGTTGAATTTTGTCATAACAAGAAATGCTTGAATATTCTAACTAACCATCCAGCTTAGAGAACGAAACTACCAAAAACTCAGTTTGTAAGATGAATAATTAAAAAGTTAAGATATTAGACAATTAACCATAAGCTGTATACATTATGAATAACCTGTAACTGAAAGTTATATTGTAAATGCAAACAAATAATCTGAAGTGGGGTTTTGAAAGCGAGTCTTTTGGTGAATTTTAAAAAGTGATCAACACTTATTTCCCCATTTTGCTTTTTTGTGAACCACCTTGTGCTACTTACTAATATTAAGTAGTGTATGTTAGTACTAATATTTTCAGAGTGACACTTTCATACTCTTGAAGCCAATAAACTTGGCATATCCACTTTCAGCGAAGGGATCTCTTTTCAACGAATTTATTATCAAGCTGTACAATCGTATATATATATGAAAATTTTGTTTTGGTAAAAGTACTAATTCCGTGAAGAAATAATAAATTCGTTGAAAAGAGATCCCTTCGCTGAAATTCGTTGTTTTAATTCTAATGTTTAAATGGGAATTATCTGTCAATATCCACTTTCGTTTGATATTTTAACTCATTATCTGACTTCTGGCTACAATTCTTCCCTTTTTTATTTTTTGATCTCCTTTATGTGTACCATCAGAATACCACGAGTCTTTCCATATAACAGCTCAGAGATCTGTACCACAACATCAGGGAGAACCAAACAGCAGATGGTGGGACTTTGTGATACCTTAGATGCAGTCACGTGACATTTTGTGATGTCTCTTAGCTTATTATCTGTCATAACCAAACATGGTTTTCACTGCAGAGCAATTTGAATCAGTAGGTTGCAGGTCCGAACTCGATCCCAACTACATCGGTTTAGGCAGCCAAGTAGTACTGTAGTGAATGGGAACCCATGTACAGTAAACCAATTCGTTATTTTATGCAAACTCAAACAGTAGCTATGTAGAATATGAAAATCATACATTAAATAAATCATTTGCATATCTTCCTTCATTTATCCTTCACATACTCCATCATTCTTCCTATCCTGTTGCTATTCCGGTTGCTATCCGTTTTCGTGCTTCTCTTCATTTCACTCTTTTGCTGGCAAGCAATCTACTACTAATTATGTCTGTCCGCATAAGTAGCGCACATCACAGTACCAATGGCTATTATACAATGCAGCCCAAAGACAGTTACATAATATCCGCAGTCGGCAAATGAGATACATTTTATTTATTTATTTTACAAAAATCTTTTCCATAATGAATTAATCTCCACATTCCAATCAACTATATACATATACATAGTTAGAAATCCATAAATTACCTCCTAAAACAAATTGAGCTAAGCAAGTAGATGCTCTATGGCAAACATCTGCTAAGGTTACTCGGTATGTTGCGACAGCAAAGCGCAGAAAATCTATGGAAAAATACATGAAGATACATATTAAATTACAATAGATAATCCATGATGCGATTTCCATGACGATAAACAACAGTTGAATTAGCGATAATAATAATAACAACAACAACGAAAGTGACTAAAGAGACATAAAAAATTTAATATTCTGACCATTAATCACACAATTTCATTTCGCTTATAAACTTATTAAAGTTAACATTTCATATTAGTCAGTCTCAACATTAATGATTTGATTTCATTTTGTATGACAAACAACAATTCTTGATTCACATGTTACAATTTCCAAATGATGGACTCTGCCTTAAATCTGTCCAATTTTATGGATTATTAACTTGGATTTATAATTGTAGAACCTGATGAGAAATTATTGAAAAGCATATTCTTCATTCATATAATTGAATTTCAGTACTTTTTATGCGATTCACTTTGACGCACAACTTTTCGAATGATAATTACTGACAATACATATCTAAAACACCGAAATAGATGGAATGAAATTAATAGTAAAGATAGGTTTGGTATAACACTCAAATAAAAGTATCCACTGTATATTTTGTTTGTACTATTATCAGTTCAATGAATCCCTAAATAAACTTAACTGTTGACTAGGATATACACGTTACAAAAATAACCATACTTATTCTAAAAACAATGTCATTATTAAGTGGTAAAACCTACAGAAAGATAAAAGAAAAAAAACTTGACTTAGATTAAAAGTATAGGCATTGATCACTACTATCAATTCATTACTTCCTACTTATCATACTAATTAATTTTGTACTAGTAATTCAGTACAATTATATTGAAAAAAATACTAAAGTTTCACAACTATGCTACAGAAAGTTATTACTTATGCTTGGATTGTACAGTTATATACCCTTGAATTCTTAAATTTTCATACTCTTCTATATGAAAGCTTTTGTTAGAAATATAAACTGTTATTATATGTCTTATCGTTCGAGAATTATTGCTAATTAATTATTTACCTACAGCTCCGTTTTTGTATCAATTATGATTGAATGGTGTATATTGCAATTTGTGTGCCGTGTGGTCAGGTGTTTAAGGTATATTACTGTTTGATTTTTAACTACAGAACGAACAGAGTACAAAAGAGTGGACATATGTCTGTCATATTTGCCTTCTGGTTGGACACTGGATTGGATGGAGCACGAAGATCAACAGACATTAAGGTCCCGATCGTTGCTGATTAGTCGATGTTATTGGTAAAAATTAGTCATCATTCTATATGCAATGTACGCTAATAAGTCAGCAATAGAACTAAACAACACAACTGCCTTCGTAACAATGGCTCAATCATATAGACACCAACACAACTCAAGAACCTATTCTTTTTGAAGTTATATAACAATTACAATTCGACTCCAAGTTTTTATGATAACAATATAAAAAGTTAGAGCATACATGAAGCTTTAACCTTAATTCATTTCTGACAGGAAGATAGTTATGTTATACAATTATGAGATAGACAAAAACAAATTTATTTGGTTTACAGAACTAACATAAAAGAATAAAAATAATATATTTGTAATATCCCAATGAGTAGAAAATTGGATTTTCTACTCATTGGGATATTACAAATATATTATTTTTATTTATAACAATGAACCCAATGCTCAATTTATTCGAAATTATCAAATCAAACCTTGGTAATGACACCTACTAACATAAAAGAAGATATACAGTATGAAACCAGAAATTTAACTTGATTTTGGCTTAATCTATGAAAAGTTAATTAACTGATGTTAAACAAATGTAACGTAGTAACCAAGTACAAACCCAGAAACCCAGTTTCGAAAGATACTTTTGATGTGCATAAGTTAAAAATATCAACATTTAAATAGCTAAATGTAAGTAGATGAACCAGAGATTGAAGCTAGAATAAAATTGTCTCTCGAAATAGCTGTGTCGTCTGTTGCTGCATACATTTCTCGATAAGAAAACATTAATAATATTTATGATGGACATAGTAGTAGAAAATAAAATAATGGTGAAATACCATGCCTTATTGCTTTTGAATAAAATTTTATGTCATGAAACCCATTAAAAAATGATAGAATAATTGGCAAAGCGAACTTAAAGAAAATGTAATTAGGTAAGCATGTCATTCATGAAATACTAGTGGAATAGTTAGAATTGTTGTCTAGCAAAGCTAGTTAATGATATTAAGTTATGAAAAAGCTTTAAGTGGTGAAAAACGTTTGTAGCTCAAAGAGTGGATTTTGGACTTGTTTGCTCTGAGTTAGGTGGTTTAACCATGAAGCATTTATTGTACGTATAGACAACACCATCAAAAACGTACATTGTTTATCTTTATCAATGCATACTCTTTCCAAATATACATCACCCATTTAGTCTATACTATATTATTTGAGGTAAGTCTGTGACTGAACCCTAGTATATGTAGCTTGTATAGCCTGTCATATAAGTTATCTTAAATTTGAAAGACTTGCGACAAAACAAAAGAATTGTCTCGTTCTAAAGTCTGGATAAGACTGACATAACTTATGTAACATAGCTTATGTAAGATAAAAAAATCAGTAGTATTCTACATGATTTATTTTACTGAATAAGAAACATAAGGACAAAAATATCACTATACATAGCTTATAACGTTATGGAATAAAACTACTTCACTCACTAGTATCCGAGGTCTTCGGCGTAACCCATTTTATGCCCAAAGTTTTCGAAAATCCAGAGTGTGGTCGTGATATGGACTTATTGTTTTCACTATCTGTACGTACTAATAATTTCTCGTAAATACCCCGACATTTTAACACGTCGTGTACCTCAGCTCGATGCAGAATTTCGACGCCATACATTGAACTACCAGAATTAACATTAGCTTCCTCCTTCATAGGAATATCTTGAACAAGTGTACTTGAAAGATTGTAATGACATTCTGCAAGACGCATTAAACCCTGATACAACTCCTGGCTGGTAGCTAGAAGTTTATGATAGAAAAAACGATGTCGGGCATTCGGATCTATATTATTAGGTAGCTAAAAATGAAGTGAACAAAATAAATATTAAAAATAACCAAAATTACTTCACTTAAACTACGGAAACCACATTTAGCAATCTCACCTAACATAAAAATCACCAAACCGCCGCAATTCAATGTAGAGTAAATCTGTATTTTGTGTCGTAATCAGATACAAGTGATATAAATCTAAAAAGAATAACACAAGTCACTCTGATGCAGCACAACACAAAGCATCGGATTCAAACCACACTAATACACACCACATATCACTAGTTATCATAAATGTTATATAAGTTGAGAGTTATTTCCATCACGAAAAGGTGTCGACTGGAGAACCCCTGAAAACAGCGAAAAATAATTTTAATTTAGTCTGTAACTCGTCAAACGTACACGCCCACAACTCTACATAGGATTGGACAAAGGATATTCGGTGTTGGCTGCGAGTATGATATCTTTAAACCAGTGGCTGGAACTATAAGCTTCATATTTTCAAAGTCAGTCAAGTTTTGATATAACACCATCCGTATTATCAAAAGTCACAAGTCAGTTTATATCTCACCTCGTATATTACAACTTCTAACTAGATATTACTAGTAAACACAGTTAGGTACATTTATATCGCACAAGTAATTTTCACCAGGAATTCAAATCGGTTTCAGAAAAATTGAAGAAATTATTCAGCCGGTTATACACTACTACCAATAACCGAAGTATAAATATATTAAGATAAGCTTTAAAAAATTAAACAAAGCTTAATACCTTGATATATGATACGTGAAATGAAGGATGGTTGTTACAAGTATCTCTTATAACGAACTAGCTAAAGATCAAGCAATCATAAAAATCAGTGTAACTTGAGACACTTTACAATCTCGCTGAAGATTGAAGTCACTGGCGACTAATGGTAGCGCTATTGTTTGTTGTATAAGCAGACATAGGACAGAAACTAGAAGCTGATGAAAAATTTACCTGAATAAGTGCACTTAAACAAATATTTTCTTCGAAATCACTATTTCTTTGTCAAATATATGCTGGAATCTATGTTTTCGTAACATCGTGTCTACGAATTATTTTTTTATTAAATACTATGTAATTAACTATACAAATAACTTTATATTAGCAAACCAAAAATAGCCAAGAAAACAATAACAACAGTTTTATCTAATAGAGAAACCGTGACAGTTTACTTTTTCCAATTTTTTAACATGGATGAAAGTATTAGTTATAGATAATAATAAATTTCGGAACAGACTAAGTTTGGTATTCTTTTGAATAACTAAGAACATGAATTTTGAAGTATATTCAAAATTCATTCAACGATATGCTGATACTAGACTTTAGACGATCTTCTTAAATGTAACTATCTGTTTAAGAGTAACCTATGGAATTGTTTGCTTATTCAGAGTAGTAGTTTCGATTAATTCAGTTTTTCCACTTAGTTTTATACTGATTGATTCAGTTGATAAAGCGTATACGTTTACTGAAAGTCTCACTTCCTACTTATATTATTTTATAATGTTTCCTTTGTACTTCCCCGTATTTGGCATCTAGTACCGAATAGATCAGTGTCCGTTGAAAAACGGATGCTTTGACAATAAATGAACTACATTATTGGTCGTTATCAGGAAAATATTCATTGAAAAATGATAAGTATACATTGAAAACTATTACTCCACTACCAAGATAAATGATCTACGGAAATTTCTGCGCATTTTGAAGATGTTTATTATTGATTGACGTTAGTTGGAGTACTATTAAAAAGCACTGAGTACCATACAGTAGCACTCATGAACCCGTACGGTATCAAGTTTAAGAACTTCTAGTCTTGTAGCAAGTATAGTGCCCGTAAACCATTGAATAGAAAACAGATGGTTACCATAACAAATTTTAATTCATTCTTGATTAAGGATGACTTATATTTAAATACACTGACGAGTTACTGTTTTACATTAGACGGCTAACTTTATAGGTCATGGAATCTCACCAAAATTTATCCCCATTACCACCTGGACTTTTCATTACCTTCTAACTTGCATCTTTTGCTATAAAATTTCTTATGAAAAAATGATAAACAAACCTCTAATTGCTCAGGATATAGTCCATTTAGATCTGCTGAGAATTCAGAAGCTGGAAATAGGTCAACAAAAACCCATTCACTTGAAGTAACATCCATATGACTAGAAAAAGTCAACAAGAATAAAGTGATCTAGGTTAGAGAAATCTTTTGTCGGCAGAATCAATAAAAAGTAGGAAATCGTTCGAATGTAATCTTATCCTAGGAAATGAAAACCATAAGAAACTAAAATTTCTAGCTACTTGATAATTTGATGTGGAACAGCGGTTTATTGGTTAGACCAATCGATACTCTTAGTCCGAATTTCGATATACCTACTTCCATTTGGATAACATCACTAACTTTTAAACAGTGTAGCTTACAAGTAAGTACATACATCCATACCTGGTATATTAATAGTACCAAAGTCTAATCCCGAATGGTACAATCGAAGTTGGAATAAAACTCGGTGCGACTAAAACAAGACGTGATATTAGTTCATCAAGTCAGCTGCGAACTACCTAATTGACCTTATTTATTGTGACCAGTGTATAGAGAAAAAAGGTAACATGACTAAAAATCGGTTGCAATGAAATAAATGCATTCATTCTTTACATTCCTCCAGATTGTAGTTTTAACACTATTCCACAATTTTATTCCAATAATTCACTCATTCTTTTCAATCTATATTCTTTGATCTTTGGTTGCTATGATTGATACTGTTGCTCTATTGCTATTTATCTTGTTAATGTCACCTCTCTGAGCTGATGATATGGTAGCCTCGACTAATGTACATTTTTCCTGGTTCTTACAGTTTGACTGTGACCAATAATTCGGCCATAAATATTAAAGTACAAAACTGCTATTTTATGAATATTCTAATACCGTGAGTTATTGTCATTTAAAAGAAACGAAGTGACTAATTCAATTCATTTGTATCTGTGTCTAGAGACCCAAAATAAAAAGCAAAGACACGGGTCTGAATGGAAGTTCTATAATAAAATTCCCAACATTCATTCATTTGTGCAGTACATACATATTACTGTAAATCTACGCTGACCAAGCTACTTGGATTTGAAGTGGAAGTTAGTGTCATAGATCGAGTGAATGAGTATTAGTCTAATACTAATGTAGTTAGTATAAACCTACTAAGTCAACGAATTGCTATTAGATAACTGTCATCTGATATTAAAACGATTGTAACATGATAAGTATCTCTTATATCCTCAGTCATGTTTGACTGATGCATGTGACTCCACTTAACGATAGGCTTTTTTAGACTGCTTAAGTGCCTCGGATTTTCCGGACTAACTCAATTTAAGAAGAAGACAGTTCTGTCAGATGAAGCACTGAAACTATGAAGAAGCTGAATATTTTACATGGATTTAAGACTTTTCAAATGCATGGAGATTGTTCATGACTGATTTGCACAAAGTTTGAAATCATACAGTGAAATTGCGGCATTTTCAGTGAACGAGATGCTAACAAAGTCTCGACAGAGAGAAACGATACCACTTTGACAGCTAACAACCTATGCTACTAATGGTAATTGTAAAATAACTGGCTGCTAATTAATGGACGACGGTAATTTTAGTAACTAACAATGTCTTATAATCCAACAATGAAATAAAACTGCTGACGGTAGAAAAAATGCGTGAATTTAAGGACGTGATTTTATGTCTTCAAAACATTACTCATGCATGGTGAGACCAATGAATGTATAATGTCGACATCATTCACAAATTCCCAGAAGAAAATTGGAAGTTGGTAACTGAAGATTTAAATGGCTAAGTGTTACATACACTTCCTCGACATGTTATTTGAAATAAAATAAGGTAAGCAACGAATTGTTTTCACTTTCAATTTTCAACGTATCTACTTTCTAGCGTTATAACACGTTTCTTTGTTTTTCGTAAATGTGCCGTTGCATGATAACCAATTAAACTGATGTACTTTGTGCACTCTTTTAAGCTGTCTGATTTTATCCACAGCTGTACGGAGTAGAACGGTATTCACACAAAACAAATAGTATAGAAACTTACTCGGGTGTGTCGATAGGCTTCTCTAAAGACGATAAAATATCCGGAATCCAAGACAAAACTTTATTACTATGATGAAATCGTAATTTAACTAATAAAGTTATTACCCCATAGACATGCTTAAGACAACTACTCTGCCTTTGTTCTCACCAGAATTAATTTCTTTCTGACGTGGCGTTAGCATTTGTAAGAGATGACAGGCTGAAGACAAACCCGGAAGTGAACCACGTTCAAGAAAATTGAGTGAAGAGATCTTCGGTGGACCTTCCTGAGAAAATATGTTCCATATCTTATTATATTGTGAATTAAGGTTAAATGTACTTACTGTATCCAAATTTTGATCCTCATTTAGCCATATAGAGTGAATCTTTTCCTCATCATCAAAGGTTACTATAGATATCTTGATAAGTTAATAAGTTATCTATAGAAACTTACAGGTTTTTCGGTAGAAAATATATCAAATACAACACGACAGTACTGTATAACGGCTTCAACAAGATTGCTCCAAATTGACTTCTGAAATATCATTTTTGTGTTTACAAATTTAACTCCTGCATCCAAGTTTAATTCATCTCCAGCAAAACAGCTAACCATGTGTGTATGGTTAATAACAAGTACAGTCTTCCCATTATATTGATCGGCCTCCATACTTAAATGTACAGAACTGTAAAAAGGCAACAACCAGGATAAAAATAACGATTAGGTTTAGGAAAGAATGTTGGACACCATGCACTTACTATCAAAGGAACAAATTTGACGTATTTCCATATACTTAAAACTTCAGAAGTACAACACTCATATGGAGGAAAAATCTAAAGGTCAACATAACTGATTTTGGGTGAAAATAGAAAAATAAAGCAGAAACACAATTTGTAGAATAATATGAAGTCATTATACTCCAAAGCTTCTCATCAGCTACAAACAGCCTAAATTTACACTAGTAATATCATCAAAAAAACATTTTATTACATATTATCATCAATTAAGTTTGGTTCGAAATGAAGGAGACAAGAGGGGACAACATAATTAACATAACTATAAAAATGATGTTTTATATGTTGAAAATGAAATCATAAGAAAAACAAGGTGAAGTTGTAAATAATAAAAGAGAATGTATAAAATCAAGTTGTCAACAAATGGGTGGTAATCAAGGCATATACTTAAATTAAAGTTAAGATTATGAATGAATGTCAGTAAAACTATTTTTCCATTTATAAAATATAATGTGGATACAATCTAACTGACAACTGTTAAAAATATAAAATAGCCTATGCATACGATGTATATATAACCATTAATTTTGAGAGCACTACATAAAATAGAGGTAAAACCTTCTAGAAAGGCCGAAGTTACGGTTGTTTGTTTGATCAATCAGAACAGTTAAATCAGTAAACACAAAAACAGAAAACTTCAGTAGACACTTAACCAGGATTACCTACCGAACAATTTCTTTATTTCATCATTATTGTTACAGGTGATTCATGAAACGCTGTCGATTCTGTATTGTTTATCAACTAAACAATGAAATGAAACAACAGATCTGAGGTAAACCACATGACGAAGTAAAAGGAACATTGAGAATAACAGAAATTAAGGTAAAAGTAATGTAACTCAAAAATAAAAGAAAGGAAACTAATGAATGGAAGGTATGGAATAGCACTGGTGTCGATGTGCAGCCCCCGAATACAAATCGAGAGAAAGGAATTAAACACCGATTAAGATGAATTTTCGTCACACTAATTTATTTAGTATGAACTCCACCTATGGACCTTTAGTGCATTCTTATTATGATTGGTGCTAAGTGGTAAATACGTAGTTCATATATTATAAACATTGCAATTGATATGCAATCGATTGTAGTGAAGTCATCACCAACAAAGATTTCACCACTAAACTGATCTCTTAACTTCAGTTAGCATGGCCGGGAAGAGGACCGAAGTAATCTTACCCACTGAATCGAAGTTGAAGTTGAGGAACATTAGCCTAACGTACGAAGGTATAGGACAATGAGTATAGAACTTAGAGGGAAATAATTCAAAATTAAACATATTACTGCAACAAGTTTTTTTCTCAAACCCAATCCCTAAGAGACTTGACGGATGTTATCGCTAGTTTTGACTCATTTCTAACGAGCCTAGTAACTAAAATATCAGTAAAAATAATGGAGACTGTAATTTATGGACGAATCAACCAGATTTACGGGGACAGGCATTGAATTTTGGCGCGGAATTACTTCATTTATTTGGCTAAATAAAGTTTTCGCATTATAGTTGATGTCAGTTCGTTATGAAAACCCTATATCTCATTCTTAACCCTAACCATCAACTGTAAACATTAATTCTAACTTCTCACACTGGTTTATAACCTTCATTTAGCCTCAATAAGTAGCTGAACATTTTGATAGCCTCTTTAGCGTCGCTTGAAGGTCGTCCATAAATAACAGTCTCACCGCAAAAATGAGTAGCACAAGGTATAATTTTGAGTCGCCTGTTTTTCTTATGGCGTGTAAACGACTTGCCGAAATTAGACGGACTGTTTGGTACTCTTATTCGCATATAAATTACATTTGGGAGTTAATATGTAGTGACATCGACAGCGAAGAGCTCAAAAATGATTCAGACCAACTAAGTAGTTCAAAAGTGCTTATTTTTTTACTCATCATTGTTAATCACTTGAGGGCAAATTACAAAAAGACTTTCTTAAGGAATGTAGCCTACTAGCCTATTAGTAGGCTTTTCGTTTCAAGTGGTGAACGACTGTGGCGCGATCCCAGAACAATTGTTCATTAAACAAGCTTGTTTATATTATATCCCTTTTCCAACAGCCTTAGAAGCCAACTTTTGCGATATAAAGGTTTAGAATTAGAATGAGAAGAACTGTACACTATTTCAGCAATGAACAAGATCACAACCATAGTTTACAAGACATAACTAACTCTACATCTACATCAGGTAACGTTAGACAGTATTTAGGCGCCTGTGTTATACTTGGGCTTGTCAAGCAAAGTATTGAACTTTCAGCTTCTCGTTAAGGTCTAATGAGGTTCATGGAGCATCCATCAACACTAATGATGACGTGTCGAGGCTGAGCACCATCATCACATCGACGGTATTAGACTCCCTAAGCAAACTCGTGTCTCCCAGCTCAGTGTCCCTGAACACAACAGTGGTTCCCCAAAACCCTGTAGGTGATTCGACCCACGTTAAGAGAGCCCAAAAAAACCAGGCATCACCGCCTAAGCCGAGCAACCCAAGTGTTGCTGTACGGAAAATAACTGGTGATTTGGTCGCACAGTCTACCCCCAAGACTGTTCGTCCGGTCAATAAAAAGCCTAAGCCTCAAAAACGCACACTGACCTCCAAACAACAAGTTAATAAACCTGAACCAATCGTGAAACCTGGTAAATTAACAACAGTTCGTGACGATTCCCTCGTCATCATGAAACTCGTTGACAATCCTGACCTTCCTCTCAGTCTGCAGGACAAAAACGACAGGATGCTTTTGGGTGAATTGAACAAGAAGCTCGAACTTCCTAGAATAGAGCCTTTGACGGTCACCCGGCTCACTCAAGGAAAGGATTCTAAGCATCTAAATCACTCGAGGCTTCTCTGAGTAACACTTAAGAATGCTACCGACGTAGAGGACGTCTTGCTAGCAAGTCACTTGCTGAAATCAGATGGTAACGTAAGAATTTCGCCCGATATACCGTACTCTGAGCGCAATATCATACGAAACATCCCTAAAGAATCTCGCGAGAAGTTTTTTGCGGAAGAAACATAATTGTGCCATAGGTGCTATTGGTGTTGTAATACAATATGTTAGCTATTTTGTCGGTATTGTTACCGGTAAAAGAGTTCCTCCAATCAATGCTCTTTAGGCAATTTCAGAAACCTTCCCAATTGACCTTGGAGTAGTCCCTATGGAGTGTGATAGTTTTATGTTTACTAGTTGTAGGTTTCATTACCAGGACCGTAGATGATGATATTACGGTCACTACTTGCAAATGTCTTTATTGAGGGTAAGATTAATGCTGAGGACTAGATCCAAGGTATGTTGATGACTGCTAGGTCTAACGATGTATTGAGTCCACAGTCTAACCTCTGAGCATTCAACAAATGATTCAAAACATTTCAACGTTTTAACTGAAGACCGAGAAATCGCAGGCATGTTGAAGTCCGCATAAATAACCTTGCCTGTGAATGGTATGTATGATCATATCTGAACGTGAGACTCGACAACTAGGAATTAAATAAACGGTGGACAAGTAAAAAAAATTGTATATGTTAGTATGTGGTGGAGGATAGCGTGTCAAATGAAGCAGGAGGAAGATTAATTTACGGTTGGTATCCGGTTGATTCTTGCTTATTTTCAGTGAATAATCTACAGTCAGATAAGCCCTTCTGTTGCCCGGCGGTTATGTTTACGATTAGTTTATATTTCAATAGAAATATTACACGGGAGTCCTTGTAAGATCCATTTTGAATGCTTTGTGTGTTTGTGAAAATCCCTCCATGTATATACTTTCAATTTGTTCCTATTGATCCCCTTAATTGTACCTTGTTGTCTTTTGATTACATTTGAATTGTTAATATTTGTACTTTTTTATTAGAGATTTTGCTTTTACTACACTTCCACTAATTCCCCGTGTTTCTTCCCGAACTGCAATTATGTTGTTTTACTTTATACTCAGTCTTGTCGGCAGTCACATTGGTTTGTTCCTCCATTTCATTGCTTTACCAGTGTTGACTGCAATTGTGCATTTTGGTTGTGAATTGAGGCACTCTTCCAAAATTGAAAACAATCTCTTTTATGGAGCGACAAATTATTACATTTTAAACGAATCTGTACGTGGTCTATCCAGACAGGATAGAACAAAATTTATTTGTTATGATTGGTAATTTTCTTGCATCCTTTATCAACTTTCTTATTAATTGTAATTTAGATTTGATCAATTGAACCTAAACAAAGATAACCACTCAGTAAGTCCTACTCGTTTCTATGGTGTCATATGCTACGTAATGAACCATGACCATAGGCATCAAGGTAGCTTGTATATACTTTCACTTTGTTCCTATTGATCCCCTTGGTTGTACATTGTTGTCTTTTGATTACATTTGAATTGTTAATATTTGTATTTTTTGCATCCTTTATCAACTTTCTTATTAATTGTAATTTAGATTTGGTCAATTATTGGTTGGATAGCTGAGTGGTTATCTTTGTTTAGGTAATAATGTACACTTAAATTTATGATAAATTATAGAACCGTCATCTTACCCAATTACTTTGTTTTGGTTTCAAACGGACGAGGGCGCGTATCTAACTCATCCAGACAGCTGTCCATCGGTCCAACCGTAGTTTGGATCTTACAGTCCTTTTATACTTTAAATGTGCAAATTGATCGGTAGTTTGGAGCTGTAGTAAATCCCAAGTTGTGATGTGTGTAAATTTTGGATTCAATTCGTTTCTATCTAGCTACAACTACCCAGCTAAATATATCGATCCAACCAATCGATTGATAATCTCAAATCCAAGGTCGTTTTATCTTGCCGTGTTGCCAATGTTACATATGCCTGTTAGACAACCATGAATGTCGATTATAATCTTTGTTAATTGGTTATTTTTGTTGATTTAGCTAGTTAGTTTAATTTGAATACGAATCACCATTGAGGTAAGGCAGCAAATTTTCTTAGTAATTAACAAACCTACGCAACATCGACAGAAATGTCGAAAAAAAAGTTAAGAATGCAATCGTACAGATGATGGTCATAATAGATTGCGTTATTTAAAGTCTTGCTCAGCAATGTAGATACCCAACGTAGGTTGACTTTGTCGATGATTCAGGGATCTACTCGTCGGGGGATGGCATCACCAACCAGCTCATGCCGAAGTCACCTTAAAGTTGGTACTTTGCGTTGATTCGGGTACTATGACCACTTCGATGATTTCACAACACAAACAGTGTTAATACTGAATTATATTAATGAGAACAGGTACCATGAGCACAGCTTGGTTACTGCCACATGGGACAGTCTGTAGGGTGTCACTGATTGGTGAGCGTTGGCTGCCATTGAACTTGACGTGGATTTGTGAACTGGTTGATATCCAGTGACACGACTGCCGGATGAGTAAGTTAGGGCCAAATGACATTGTCCTGGCTCTACAAGGTGGGTGAGAACTGATAATTAATCGTGCGAACAAGGTAAAAATATTTCGTAGGGTGACAGTGACTAGTTTGCTTGCTACGTGCTTGTCTGGCATTCCACATATTGAGGTAAGAATAAATTTGTGTGAGTGCATGATGTAGGGCTATAAAATAAAACTGCTATATGTCCCAACAGCGAATTCATACCTACTATCTGGATGACATCGGTGTTGAGGTAATCGACGAAAAATGCCTTTTCCGTCTCTCCTGCTTCTGCTAACCGCCGCTGTTCACTATCATTGCATAGGCTTCTTGTCAGCTTGTGCCTAATCTGACTCCGCTCTTCGTTATATTCAGATCCAGATGGAATGAGTTTTTGAGCATCTATCAGTGCGGTAGATGCTGCTGAGATCCAATGTTTCTCCCTTTACTTATGGTTTACCGTACTTGCAGACATTACTGCTGTTTCCACAGCTTTTCGGAAGTCATTTCACGCTACCTAGGGTTGGGCACCTAATACATGGCTGCCTAACCTTTTTACTATTTGCTCCTGAAATATACTTTCAGCCTGAATATCATTAGACAGGACCCTAAGAGGTTTCCTTGAAGCGTCTTTCTTACGTCCAGTAAGACGCAGACAAACACGCGCTCGCACTAGACCATGATCTGAATCTAAGCATGTGCTCCAGAATAAGCGACAGTCTTCTATCGAGCCCCTCCACCGGTGGCTGATAGCGATGTGATCTATTTGGGTCCAATGTTGGGGCGAGTTAGGGGGTCACCATGTCAAGAGATGTTTTTCCTTATGCTCAAAGTTAGTATTTGAAAGAAAGAGGCGGTTATCTGAGCATAACTGCAGCAGACGGTCGCCATTATCTGTTTTTTTGAGCCGCAAGCCTATAAGGTTACCCAGGTGTCTTTCTCTTTCGCTTAGATTACCTACTTGAGCATGAAAGTCACCAGCCACTATTACTACATCAGAGAGCCTAGCTTTTCTGAGAAGATCAGAAAGCTTTCTGTAAAACTAATTCTTTACATTATCTGAGCTGCAGTCAATAAGAGAGTAGGCAGAGACGATTAAGAGGCAACGAGGAGTGTCCCTATCTTTCAGAATCCCTGGTGTTCCGTTTAGTCGAACAGCGCACAAACGACTGTCTACTAAAATCCACTCTAATGGAGTTAGTTGTGTCCTGGGGCTCAATGCTATATCTCCGCGAGCGAGTCCACAAGAAGCAACGTCAGGGCTTCCAGATACACGAAGCGTGGATCGAGTTGGTTCGTTAGTTTGACATGGTGAGGTCAAATGAATGACACTACTCGGATCCTGTATGCACGTTTCGGAGACGCAGCACACATCGATGGCGCGAGATTCGAAGGTCCTAGCTAAGGAAGCCTGTTTTCCTATTTGGCACAGTGTTCGGACGTTAAAAGATCCTAGGTGTAGTTTAGAGTGTGGTTTAAGCGGACCAGGAATAACGTTCCGCGTACTCAAATCGTTTGCACTAGTGGTGCGAGATGATAAAGGGAAGTGAGAAGAGTTAGTCGGGAAGATAAGAGAGGTATTAGGAGATGTGCGAAAGATTTGAATGTGGCCAACCTGGCCTCGTGTGCTGTTACGGGTATGAAGGCTGGTATCACTTACCGGCTGCTCACACCGTGGAAGGGATTTCTTGAGGAACCTGAAAAAGTTGGATTATTGTTGGTCTTGACGACCAGGGTACGTGACCGCAGAGCTCAAGGGACAACTGTTTGAAGGCCGGTCGCGCACGGCTCTGTCGTGGGAGGTTTTTGACTTGTTAGCTCCGTTATTCAAAAGGCCTTACTACCGGAGACGGAAATT